GTTGTTAGATGACGTATATTAAATCGTCGCGTTCTACCTTTAAATACCTCACAGTCTTCTTTGTCACTTGTACTTCAGTAAGCTGGGGGATACATTGTCAGGTGATTTCAACTTCTGTCATCTCAGCCTTGGCATTTGTTGGTTACCTTTTCCAAGGCAAATTGAGGTTTTGCTGATTAGTTGTGTGCTAAGTAATTTTGGATGATGTCCTGACTCTTTTGAACCTTGTGCTCGGAGACTCTGGGTGTTGTGTCAGTCCTGTGGATAACGCTGACATTCCTGTTTCAGAGGCACTCACCCTGGTCGGATTCAGTGCCTCGGTTCCCACCAGGCTTCTGTGGGTTCTGGCTTCAGTGTCAGTTCCATTTTCACAGCCTCCATAGTCCTTTTCAGATCTCTCCTCCTCTGCATCACTCCGTGGCCAGTCTGGGACCTGGCAGTGGCCTGATCATTATAGCAGTTCTCAGAGTCTTTGGTTTGGGGTCAGATCCGCACATGCACAGCTCAGGGGTGAGTCCAGGAATTTATAAACAGCTTACTGGTGTGCTTTCCCAAACTGCACTCTCTCCACAGTCTCTGAGGGACTTTCCAGTTTTCAGGGAGCCCGTTTTTGGTCCCCTGCTCAGAAAGCTGGGTCTTACCCCAGGCTTACCGCTGGCGGAAGTGTCTCTGCCAGACGCTTCTAGTAAGTGTGCCTACACCTGGGGCAGAGCAGCACCACAAAGAGGAAAAAAGGAACAGGGTCTGCCCACCTTTGGGGACCACAGCTCTTCCCATCCAAAAGGGACATCCTTCTCAGAGCTTTAGGCTTCTGCCAGCCCCCCAGTGTGTCACCCCCACCACCACGGGCTTGCTTAGTGCTAAGGTACAAGAGTTCAGACATAGTAACCGAGAAGGAGTGACTCCTCACTCTCTCTGAGCATCGGGAGATCCTTCCCCGTCCCCTGGGTGGATGAGAGTGCCTAGGCTGCGCTGCACCAGAGCCACCTCCTGGGTTCAGGCGGCAGTGAGTCCAGGCTGGGGACAACAGAGGGGAAAATGGCACACGCATCCATTGTTTCAGTGTTTCTTCGAATTCTTGCCTTCTTCCCCAATCTGCTTGCTGCTGTTGACTCTTCACAGCCTCCCATAGCTGTCGTCTGCGTCCTGCCCAGGTTTTGTACTGGTATTCATCAGGAAACTGGTGGAGTGTGCTTGCTCCATTTTACCTGGAACTCCTGTTTACTTCATCATGTTTTCCCCCCAGGTTCGTTATAGGAGGTTCCTTCTGGCTGCTTCGATGGTGAGGTAACAGCAGGTCAAGTTAGCTCTGTTTACACTTGAGAAACACAGGGTATCAAAACTCCTCTGGATTCACCAGATCAGAAACCTGGCTTTGCACTCCCGGGTTATCTTGAGCTCCCTTGTCCCAGCCTGGGCACTCCCTCTGTGCCAGAGGCAAGAGAAGGTGAGTCCTGGAAGTGGAAAGCCCTCAGAGAGTTGGAAACCTGTCAAATAGCTGTGACCCGTGTCGTGGATACCAGGCCATTTGGTGCTGTGGCAGGAAATCCTGGAGGAGCTCAGGCTCTGCTCTCTGTGCCCAGGGATGGGGCAGAGCAGGTTTGCGGCCTTTGCCGGCAGCGTCCGTCCTGCCCCCAGGACAGCTACCAAGATGCTCCCTTGGCGGGGCCCAGAGGGCAGCCAGCCTTGTTGGCCCCAGGAGCACTGTGTGTCTGCATATGAGTGTCCCTGCTTGCTGCACCCTGGTGGTGGGGAAACCCAAAACCTGGGCAGCTGAATCACAGGCCCTCCTTAGGAAACTGCACCCCACAACAAAGGTCACCCCAAAAGAATGACTACCCCAAGAACTCAGAAGTGCAGTGCTCTCCTTCACTGGGGAAGAGGTGGTTGAGTCTGAGCCTCAGTGAAGAAGAGAACTGGCTTCCAGGCCCACCCTCGCCTTCAGCTAGCTGGACTCCGAGCCCGGCAGTGGGCGGTCATGGTTGTCCAGAGAGCCCTTGTGATGGAGTTTATCACTGGGGAGGAGACGGAGGCCTGGGGAGGAAGCGACTCAGCTAAGAGACTGGACGCTGGTGTCTGCCTTGTGCCCTGGCTGGTTCCTCCTGCCCTGCTCCCAGTGTTTTCCTGGGCCCAGTGTTCCTAAGGAACAGGTCTCCCTTATCAGAGCTGCACTTGCCTGCCCTGATCTCCACTCCCCACGTGGCATGAGAAGAGCTCACATGAAATCGCCTCCTGGCTGATGACTTACCATCCAGGTAGAGAATTGAGAAAACAGTCTTGGTCGGGTTAGGTGGTCACCATGGGTTTGTTTAAGTAGCCACCAAGCCAAAATGAAAATGACCATATCCTTAAGATAAGGGAGCCCTATGAAGCAGGTCATCCTCCAACACAGCTTAGCTTGACCCCACAGCGTAAACACAGCCCGTGGTACCCGGACCCCAGCACAGGCAGGAGAAAGGAGGGGGAGACGGTATAGGAAAGGAAGATCCAGAATGTGGTGTACAGAGGTCACTCCACACAGCCCTGGGCTCATGGCCTGCTCTCTGGGGAGGACTCTGATGCGAGAGAAAAGGATGACATTCTAATGGGTGCCCCTTTGGACCACCTGAAATGATGGTCCAGCTACTAAGGACTTATGTAGTCACCTCAACCTCAAGAAAATATATTTTCCACATCAATGTATGTTAATTTTTATGAGCAGGTTTTACTACATTTCAGAATGATATTTAACAACTGAAAGTATTGGCCCCCTCCTCAAAAATTGGTGCAATTTCAGCATCTGATTTTGTGCAGGTTGGGGTCAAAAGCACTGTCTCTGAGAGCTGCTCAAACTAATTAATGCATTTGCTGCCTGCAGGGTGAAATTGAGTTTTCAGATACATTTATAAAATGATGCGCTTGATTGCTAAATATGGCCTTCTTTGAGCTGTTTCTCCTAATATATTGCCTAGTATGTACAGAGTGAGAAGTGGTTTCCCATGAAAAATGGAGAGTGAAGCTAAAATGTTTGATAAAATCTGCTCATCTCTGGACGTAGAATTGTTGTATTACGCGATACTTTTACACTGGAACGAGAGGTGCTCTGTGATTGTGCAGTAATTCGTCAGGGCAGCCCTCAAGGCTGGCGCTCAGACGGGGCTGGAGAGGGGCCCCGGGTTCTCGGAACTGCTCTGCGCTCCACTTCAGTTTGCACGCATACCTCTCGTTGCGTTCCCACAGGTTTAGTAAATTTCCAGGCTGTTCTTCTGGAAAATCTAGGCAGCATCCTCTCCCTGGGTCAAAACACGGAAAACAAAAACCAACAACTTTGTGCTCTCCGAGGAAGGCAGGAAATTGGCCTCTGCTTCGTGGAGTATCGACGTGTGGCTTTTATTGTTTCTTTTCCAAGACAGCTGTCCCTGAAACCTCTTTTTCTCCAAGTTATCACTAGGCCACCTCGGTTTTCCTTTTGCTTCCTTTTTTTTTAGAGTTGGGCATAACAACAGCAACAATAATAATGATTAACAGTTTGGTTTCCAAACCCTTTCTGAAGAAATCATAGTAAACAGAGTCTGTTTGCCTAAGGAAACCCCCCCAGCGCTCAGCCAGTAACACAACTGCATGCGCTAATGAACCCGAAGCTGTTAACGTGGTTTCTTCAGTTAAATTGATTCATGAATTTTGAAGAGAACATTATCTAATGAATTTTCTTTGAATAGAAAGCAATTAAAAGGACAAATCAGTCTGATTAACCCCAAAGTCACCCTCCTGCCACAAATGGTGTACAGTTTGAAATTATATCATAAAAAACTAGAGCACATTTGCTATCTTTTTGCCCTCTACTAATCCATGTAAATTAATGAACAACAAAGTTAATTTCTCTGATGACCCTTTTCTAGTATCACCTGGATTATGCTGATGTTTAATTTGCTTAATGTTATAATAAAGACTAAACAGATTTTTTTCCCAGTGAAGTGATTATCATTCCCTTCAGTTAAGAAGTGATTTTTATTATTTAACACGCATGTAAGGGTGTGTTTCCTTTAAGAACCAAATCGCACTTTGCCAGCTTGGCACGGAGTGTAATTAGTGCTGTTATGGACACACTGCGGAACACCACTCTTGCCCACGGAAGCTGTCCCTTTGTTGTTGCCGTCAGGAACTCCCGCCCCTGGAGGGCTCAGCGCCCCCACCGTGGGGGCCACAGCTCCGTGTCCAGTGCTCCGGAGCCATGTATCCCCTTTGGAAAGACAATAGGTATCGATTCAGACGGGGCCTGCTCCTCGTGCCTGGGCTTTTCTCCCGAAAACTCCACAGTGGGAAAACAACCCGAAAACCTGGAGGCAGACGGGGAATGTTCTCCGGCATTCACCTGTTCGTTCCTGCAGCAGGATGAAGAGCAAATGCAATTTCATGTGGCTAGTCAATTAAAACAGGAATAAAGTTTATTTTATTTTTGCAGCTCTCTTCATTACAGATGGCTGTAGCCAGGGTCACCGCCAGCCCCTGTGTACCATGGTGTTTGGCATTCTGAGCCTGCTCACTGCTGGATGTAGACAGCCAGCGTAATATCACAGCCCGGCCCCTGGCTTCTTTTTCCTTCTGCGTCCCAGCTGAAGTTGGAAATTAACCAGCAGTACCAAAGCTTTCGAAGTCGGTGGGCAGGCAGGGCCTTCTGTGCTTATTAATTGAACTGCCGGCTAATTTATACATGCCCGAGTACGGGAAGAGCATCACGCAGCCCTGCATGGAACGAGGGAGGATGGAAGGAAATCGCAAATCTGTGATGCACAGTCAGGGCATGCCTGCCAAGGGGCCAGCCTGCTCTGTGGCCTACCTCACGCTCAGTCCTCCGTGCCAGGTGACATGGTGACAGGACTGTGTGTGGAGCCCGGGTTTTAGCTGAGTATAACACCTCTATTTGTGTCAGTGTGTTTCCTGTTTCAGGACTGGCAGCTGTTTATATCAGAGCTGTTGGAGCCATTTGTCCAAATAACGTCATTCTGCATTCTTCCTTTCAGATTCATTCACCAGACAGGTGTTATGGAAGCTGCTGAAGGTTGTGAAATTCGGAGAAATGATTTCTTACCAGCAATTAGCAGCCCTGGCAGGCAACCCCAAAGCAGCACGGGCAGTGGGAGGAGCGATGAGAAACAATCCTGTAAGTTCACATCAACGTGGGTGTCAGGTCGGCCACAGTCGGTGGGTGGGCCTCAGCACTGTGCTCAGGGGCCACATGTCAGATATTGACTGAAGTGTGTTTCCGAGGCAGCCTGGGCTGTGGGGTGGGGAGGAAAGGACGCATCTGTGATGGAGCCTCCAGAAGAGGCGTGGGCACCACTGGTAGCCCCCTACACCCCATTTTTGGTGAAGGTGGTAGGGAAGCCTTCCCATACGCCACCGAGAGCCCTCTCGATGCGACAGAGCCCCGGGAGCCCCTTGTCACAGGGCACAGAGGAGGACGAAGCCTAGAGAAGGGGTGAGCGGACACTCATTCGTTCATTCAGGAACTGGGTGAACTGGGTGCCTAGTGATTGCCGGACGCCCTTCAAGGTACCCAGAGTACATCATGGAGCAAAACAGACCCAAGAGCCCCCCCACGTGGAGCTTACGTTCTGAAAGGATGCACGTGCTGGGCTCCAAACCATCTCCCAAGGCTGTGCTCTGTTACCAGGTCCTGCCCTCCTGGGCCTGACCAGTGGGTGTGTTGAAATCTGACAGGCAAGCATGCAAGCCGCCCAACGTTGGGACCTACGATAGTTCACCACATTCGGGTGTGTCTCCCCGGGGGATGGGTCTGTCCCTCAGCTCTTTTGTGTCCTTATCCCTCCTGTGCGTCTGTGTTCAGGTTTTGCTGAAAGTGGGGTTCATAGACCCCGAGCAGCCATGCTCCCCAGAGGACGGGGCTGGGCCACAGCGAGGGGTAGCTACACGTCTGTCATACCCAAAAGTCCAGAGGGCACCTTTGCACCCCAGTCACACCACATGTGGGCTGCAGGCCATCAGGTCTCAGGAGGGAAGTCAGTGCAAATTGGGGAAGAGGCCATGATGTGGGCCTGGTTGAGGCCATGCATGCCTGTGGACCCTGCACGTGGGCAGGAAGGGCATCCCCATCCGCACAGCGGCTGGTCCTGCTGGGAGACCCCCCACAACCACGTGAGGCCCCTGGAATATTCCCACTCTCATTAGCCCCTCCAGTGCCCAGCGACGGCCTGCTCAAAATTAGTAAGTTTCTCCCTAAAGCGATAGGAAGGCCTCTAATATTATAGAAGAATGCGATCCTATCAGGAAGAGCAAATAGGATCGTCACATCATGGGAAGGGAAATTACTAAATCAGATAGACCCCACTTTTTAAAAAATTGCCGTGGCTTTGCTGTATATTTTCAAAATGATTTTCATCCCTGCTCACCAGGGAGAGGCGGGCGTCTGCACAGCACAGTCCGCTGCTCCTGCCGCTCACTCGCAGCAGCCTGAGGGCAGAGCCCCGGCGTCTCCGGGAGATGGCAATTACGTAGCCTTTTGCACAAAAGCGCATTGTTGCTCTTTAAGAAGCAGCTCCTGTAGGTTTGTAGTGGATTGCACTGTCTTGATGTACATCTAATCTAGAGAAGAGTGTTCTGCCACGTTAAAATATCGCAAATCATCAGGAGCAATGTGTGATATGGACACACGTCATATCCATCTCCCGTGTCTCTTCATGTCCTGCATTCTCAGTGACAGTGGATGGTGGGCCCAGTTAGAATTTCATTTTGCACCTGTTGTGTTTTAACTGCAGTATGCCCAGCTACGTCATTAGAATACCTTACCTCCACGCACTAAGGGTCTCATTTTACAGTGCATGTGGGATGATTCTGAATCAAATTTCTGAATGTGGGGTTTTTTTTGGTAAGGAAGATTGGCCCTGCGCTAACATCTGTTGCCGGTCTTCCTCTATTTCTTGCATGGGGGATGCCACCACAGCATGGCCTGATAAGCAGTGTGCAGGTCCACACCCGGGATCCAAACCCGCAAACCCTGGGCTGCCAAAGCGGAGTGCACGATCCCAGCCACTACGCCACCTGGCCATCCCCTGAATGTAATTTTTTACATTTCCCAATAAAGCTTAAAGTACATCTTCCCTTTGGAAGGCCCCTGTCTTCTCCCGGGTAGTGACTCAGTTTTGAGCAGTTGGACTTTGCTCTGGTTAAAAAGACCATTCGGACAGTGGTGTCACGGCTCCATTTAGTGCCTTGTGAGAAGAATGTAGGAAGCTAACGGGTTTTTTGCGCCCTCCTTCTGCATCACTGCAGCCACTGTGTTCTCCAGAAATTCTCCCTTTGCCCCAGATCTCCATCCCTATTTCAGGGCAAGTTTCTGTTCACGCCCTCTAGGTAGGGCTGGTCCTTCCCTGCGCCCTCACTGAGGTTTGGTTTGATTCTCCTGTGTGCTCGGGGAGATGCGTTCTGACTCCGCTTGCTCCCGCGGTGTGTACAGCTCCCACCCTTGGTTGTAAAGACAAGCTCTGCTAACCAAAGTGCACACATCAGTAGCCCCTCCCTGCCTTTTGTGGTGCCGCACTTCCTCCCTCCATGAAGTGAAGATGCTGTACCCGTTTGGTGATCGCACTTGGGGCTTTGTTCAGAAACGTTGTTCTCCGACCAGCACGGCTCTCTTCTCCTCTTCGTTTGTACAAAGGTCTCTGTTCAGATGTGGCCTCAGCCACTGAAACTTGTAAAATAGGATCTTTCAGGGCTTAAAAATCTCTGATGTCCATAAAGTCCACGTGTTGACTTCCCCGTCGTGAGCCAAAGCTGAGAGCGGCAGCAACAACACACTGGGGCAGGAGGATTATGCAGGCGCTGTGCCCCTCTTCTCGGTGCCTTCCTGCGCCAAGGGTAGTCGGGGTGACGGTGAGCCCTCCACGGGCTTTCTGCGGGTGTCCTTCTGTGGTCGGGCGCTGCACGTATCTCATGCAGGGACCCTCAACTTGAGGAGGTCACAAAGGTGCCGCAACTGAGAGGTGCCTCCAGTTACGGTGCAGACACTCCAGAGAGGCCCTTGTCAGAAAAACCTCGGATGTGTAGGTGACTGCAGTTCAGCTGACGGGGAGCTCTGCAGTCCTCAGAGGGGTCCCAGAGAGTTGATCAAACCTCCCTAGATGGATTGGGGGAATCTAAACAGTGATCTGGGAACCTGAGGGAGAAAGGAGCCCTGGTCAGGTGCTGGACACGACTGACATCCATGTCCACCGTGGGTGCCCCCTTCCTTGGTGCTGACAGCAGGGCACCCAGCCGCAGAACCACACACGTCAGCTCCAGCACCCACAGCGCATCGTGGAGACTGACTCACTGAAAATATCTCTATGTTCAGGCTGAATAGAGCAATTGTACATTTCAAGGAAGAGAGTGAAAAATGGATTTGGAATGTTGCAAAACATCATAAAGCTCATTGTGCATTAATTCCTTAGGTGGCTTGCAATAAACAAGAACACATGCTGGTTCATATTACAGCGTTTGCTTTTGGCGTGGGTTTCCCTCCCCGCCACAGTAAGGGACAGTTTTCACGGTATGGGAGTTTCATCCCATCCTCGGTGGTTGGTTTTTCCAAAGTTTTTCGCAAAAGACTCACTAGCCCGGGTAAGATGGTTTGGCAGCCTTCTGGAAGGCTCTCTCCCCCACCCAGCATGGAGGATGGTCAGCATGGGGGACGGTCAGTTTTCCAGTACATGAGATTGAAGACACCTCATGGCCCTCCTCGCAAAGCACCTTCCTCTTCATCCTCAGACAAAATTTGCTAAATGCAGTTCAAAGGCAGTCAATACTGCACAGAGCGCTTCCCCACCTTTTTCTAAACAAACGCATTCCTGAGGAGTTAGTTTATTCACAGATTGCCATGAGCGTTAATGACCCCCCGAGTCTTGTTCTGCCAGTCACCCAGATGGCTGTTGATAAAGATTTAGCATCATGTTCTAAGTGTCAGGGCTGTCAGTGGGGCTGAACCATTTGACCAGAAGAAGAAAACGCACAGGGAGCTATTGATTACAGCTTCTCGGTGTCACTTGTTCACCAGGATTTCGGTATTGATGAGGCCGCGAGTGAAAACAAGCGCCTTCCCTTGTGGGCTGCTACCCCCAAGAACAAAGGCGAGGGGGAGAAAATATGCAGCCAGCGCCAGAATCAGAGGGATTCCGTTATTGATTGAAGGGTCCCTTCATGTTATTTTTGTTGGAGACAAATCTATGGGTTTGGAAGTTTTATAGCATTTGAGAAAGGGTCTGTGTAAGTGATGGATTCGTGTATTGGATGAATTAGATTTCACAGCATGAAGATTTCAATGCAGCTGTGATATTATGAGCTGCTTGGTTATTGATAAAAATTACATTTTATGCAGCACAGGCTTTAAAGGAGAGAGCATAGAGGGTACGGATCCTTTGAAATGTCCTTAGGGCCCCAGTAAATTTTAGCAGGTTTCATTATTTTAATAGTCTGAAACCTGCCACCAAAATTAGCACAAACAGAAGCAGTGTTTTCCATTTGTAGGGTGGAAATAGCGCATATTGGGTCCGGCACCTGTCCTCCTCCCTGCCTAGGCAAGGTCAAGACTGGTCATGGCTACACTGGAACTGCGTTTTCGTGCCTGCATGTCTGTTATCTGCATCATGCATAGAGAGAGGGAGGGTTCATGTTACACACTTTTATAATTTCACAGCTTGTTGGGGGTGGGGACAGAATCCAAGCTTGCTTGTGAAATCTGCTGTTAGGAAGGAGGATTGAACTGGGGCCTGAATGTTTGTCAAACTGAATTGAATTAAATGTTTCCCTCTTTATCAGTCAAAAACTTGAATTGTATATTATCTAATCATGTCCTCACAGCAATTGTTAATGAGACTACTGCATTTGCTAAAAACCCTCCATCGGAGTAAATGTCCCATTCTTAAAATTTTCTGTTGCTCCTTTCAAGAAGATGGGAATTACATGCTGTTTGCAGGACTTGGCAGTTTATTGCTTTTCACTCTGTTAAACTACACGGAAAAGGAAGCCAGCTCTTTCTCACCTCACCGTGCTGGTCATTGTTGGAAGGAACGCCCTGAGACTACGCAAGTTACCACGGCAACCCAAACTTCTAGTCAAAATCGGACTAGTTTGTCACGGGGGAGGTCAGGTTCCTCCTCCCAAGCCAAGCTGTCTGCCAGGGCCGGCCAGTGCCTGCAGGCCCGCCCAGCAGTCCCCCGCCAGGGCAGGTCAAGGAGCCGCCAGGAGTGTAGGGGGCGGATTCTGCCTCCACTGGGCTGGAGTCCCTTCTTTTCCTCTAAACAGCTATGTGAACTTGAGCAAGAGACTTAATATGACCAAGGGCTTGGCTTGTTGGAGGATGTGATGTCATGATGTGCTGTGTCAGGCACAGAGCACGCTCTCTCTGGGGATGGTGCCCATCCGCCCAGGGTCAGGCGCAGCTCAGGGTCCACAGAGGGAGCACTCCAGGCAGGTGGGTTTGTGCTGCGAGCCAAGATGGATGAGTGCCCAGAGGGTGCCCGGATACCGTGAGAGGAGATCCCGGGCACACGTGCACAGCCGCTTCTTCTAGAAACTCCCTGGACCAGTGACTGGTCATTTTGTCCAGTGCACTCTCTTTGGAGGTGGCGCGTGGGGCAGGGGGTGCTGGTCTTCTGTCTGTTGGGCTGCAGGCTGAGTGGAGGTGGATGGGACTTGGAGCAATACACCATGTAGTCTGAGAAGTCCTCACCTTTCGGGGCCCGGTGGGAACGGCTGTGGGTTCTCACTGTGGGACAGTGGAGCTGGGCAGCCATGTGTGAGTGCTCCGAAAGGGGCACAGGGGAGTGGAGAGGGCAGGTGCGGAGCTGCAGGATGCAGGGCCAGGTGGGGGCCAGCCCAGAGAGTCCTGATGCTCCTGTGCAGCTTCCATGTGTGGGATCTGAAGGGGATCTGTGCTTCCTCCCAGCCGCCTTTTCCAGAACAGGCCCTGGTTTCTGGAGTTGTGGTCACTGGCAGTTACGTTCTTTGTGGAACCTGTTGCTGGGATGTTTTGCACAGTAATGAGACCTGTCACCCCGGCATGTCCTGGGCTTTCAGTGACTGACCACCCCTGCCTCTTGCCCCCAGTCAAGATAGAGTGACTTAGCGATGAAGGCTGTTTTCCCTGGGACTCGCAGGCCAAGCCTTCCTTGGTAGAAGCTTGAACTCTGCTGACACCCCACCACACGTTCCCTCCTGGGAAGGCCGTCCAGAGAGCAGCTCTCCTCAGGTTCTGAGCAGCTGCCTGTTGGGATCTTTAAGCAAAATGACCATTGACCCCCGCCCCCAAGCCCTATGCAGTAGAAACATAAGAGACATGGCTTGTGCTTGGTGGCACCCAGGCGTGTGGCCTTCCCTGGCACACTGAGTGTGCTCTGAGTTGTGTCCCTTGGCTGCCAGGGAGAGAGGTCAACAACCTGAGGCACTCCTGTCCACTGTGGTTTTAAGGGGCCATAAATTACATCTCTTTCTTTTCCTCTCATGTTCTGAGCGACCTGAGAAATGGATAAAGGACATCAAAATATTAGTTTTTTAGGATAAGAGCCGGACTTGAGAGATGACATGGCCATGGCGGGCTTGCCAGGAATTCCCGCTGGAATTAGAGCCCCTGTCCTGTCACCCTCCCTGCAGGGCAGGTGCTGTGTCCCAGAAGCCATCAGGCCGCCCTCTGCCGTGGGACAGGCATGTCCCCCTGCAGGACCCTGCAATATGCCAGGCTGGGAATTCTTGTCCCTTCCTCCTGGATGGTGGTCAGTGAGTCATCCTCCTCTCAGGGCCAGAGGTGAAGGGTGGGGTGGACAAGGCCAAGAGTGTCCCTCCTTCCAGTGCACGTTCCTCAACATGGAAACCAGAGGCAAGGGCCACTAAGCCCACCTCTGCACGTGGCTCTCAGGGCCCAATGGGACAGTGGACTTCCTGTTCTAGGAACAGACACTGAGCAGGTCTGCCAATAGGCATCGTTGGAGCTCCTGTCCACACAGCCAGGCCAGCGGCAGGAGACCGAGGCATTCGCCTAGGGACTGTGTTGAGGAGGAGCCTGCCACACCTCTGAAGAGAGCAGGAGTTCCCTCCCCTGGCGGGATTGGCTACAAAGAAGAGCGAGTAGTTAGGTGAGATCTCCAGCTTTGTGTGGCTGCAGGAGTGACGAATAGCCCACATGCTAGTGGCTCTCCCTTGAGTCCATCACCTGTGAGCAGCCCGTCTGAGATGCAGACTGTCAGACGTGCACAGGTCTGCATTGTACTGGCTCCAGGCATGGGGACAACATGCTGGGGGCAGGCCCTGTCCTCGGGTTGGTAGTGTCAGGAGGACGCCCTGCCTCCCTGCACCTGTGCCCTCCTTCTCCGAGGCTGCGGGTGACCCCGCCCCTCCTCCGGGACTAGGACAGCAGCATTTTGAGCTGCAGGTGAGTTCGATGGGAGGGTTTGGTGATGGCCCTGGGTGCGCAGAGCCCAGCGGTGCCTGTGTTTCCTGGGGCTTCTCAGGGGCACCCAGACAGCCACCACTGCCCCAGGTCCCACAGTAGAGCCCTTTTGCCAGTCGTTCTCTTTGTAGGATTGTTTGGGTTTGTTTTCATTATAAAGTGGCCTCACTCATAGCAAAGTTGCTGTGTCGATCAAGGCGAGCACCTAACGGCTCGGTTTGTTGCCAGAGCTGAAAGGCTATTTGGGGAAAGAGGGGGATGCAACAGACTGTCTGGGGGCGGCCCCTGCTGCCCTGTGGGAGGAGTGAGGGGGCCTGGCCCTGGGCTCGGGCGTCTTGGCTGGGGTCAGTGGAAGAGCTGGTCGGCGAGCCCAGCCCAGGTATCTGGGGGATGGGAACAGCTGGGAGCTGGAGCTTCTCTGACCTTCTGAGTGTCCAGAGACTAAGGAGGGGAACAGGCATCCCCAGTGCGGTCGCAGAGTAAAGCGGCCGGCAGGCTCTCCTGGACAGGGCCCGGTAGTCAAGGTCTTAGGCTTTGCAAAAGCAGCACAGACCGCATGTACCAAATGGGTGTGGCTGTTCCAGTGAAACTTTATTGACAGATAAACACTGGTGTGGACCTCGTCAGCCCACAGCCACCATCTGCCAGCCCTGGGTTAGGGTGGCCTTCGCGAGTGCCATCTTCCCTAAAGTTCCTGCTACTTCTCGGAGATGCTTGAGAATTCGACATACCACCCCATAACTTGGCAATGTCATTTTAAATTCTGTAAATGTACATTATAAATTACTTGCCAAACAAATTAAGTATTTTCCTCCCACCTCTTGGCATAAACGGGTTCGATGGAAGATGCCCCATATTCGCCTCAGGACATTGTGTGTCCCCCGCCCAGCCATGCCGAGACCCTCACAGACCCAGGGGTGAGTAGTGCTGAGACAAAGCTGATTCGGGGCCTGCACCCAGCCCACCCCTTGCCCACAGCCTGCCCCTGGCCCCTGTGTGGTGGGCCTGGATCAGTTGTGGTCAGGGGCCTAGTTCTTGACCCCCAAGTCCTCACTGGCCTGGAGCTCAGACTGACAGTGGCTGCCTCCCTGTTTTCCAGGTCCCCATCCTCATCCCGTGCCACAGAGTGATCTGCAGCAGTGGGGCCGTGGGAAACTACTCCGGAGGACTGGGCGTGAAGGAATGGCTTCTGGCCCACGAAGGCAGCCTGGTGGAGGGGCCTAGCCGCGGAGGGGGCTCCCGTCTGGCCAGATCCTGGCGCGGGGCACTGGGTGGCACCACCAGCTCCCAGCCTGCCGGCAGAAATTGAGTATTTGTAGCAGGAGTAAATATTTGAGTGACATACAAATGTAATAGAGCATTGGAAGTGGGATACGTGGTGGCACGGCTATATTAAAAGAGCTGGACATGTCCTGGGGGACGTGGTGTGTCTGCCCTTTCTTGTTTTTACATTTTACAGCAGAGTGAGTTCAGAAGACTGGCCGTGGTGTGTGTGGTTTGTTCCCTTCTCTCGCGCTGTTATTGTTCCATTTCTAATGTCTATTAAAACACAGCTTGAGGCAGGGGGAGCCTCAAAATGTGAGGGTGACTGCCCTGGAAGCAGGAGGCATCTGGTGCCCACAGGGGACAACTGACTGCCTTGAACGCTGTGGCTACGCCCAGAGCCAGCTACAGCCCAGCAGGGCCCCGGACCCCATGTGGGCCCATCCAGACTGCAGTCCTGTGTGTCCCCCGAGAAGCTGCCCTGAGCCGCATGCTCCCCACACTCCCTTCTCGGCTGGTGCAGTGTCAGGACAGCGTTTTGTACAAGGCTCTGCTGAAGGAAGGAATGGGCCATGCAAATGGAAGCTTTTTGAGCTTCTCTAGCTTTGTTTTTCCAGCTGCCAGAAAAGCTAGTGCAAGATGCACCCATTTTTTATCTATGGCGATTGAATAAAACACACCCACTTGCCAAAATGATTTGGGAAAATAACTGCTCTCTGGGCCTGGACTTGGTGGAAACAGCACCTTCCAGAGGGAGGGAGTCTCTCCCCAGGCCCTGGCCTCTCTCGTCGCTCCTTAGCACGCTCTAGACAGACCATGACGAGGGATGCCAGCCTCCTGCCCAGCACCCCAAGGTCGAGCCTAGAAGTCCAAGGTCACACCCCGAGGTGGTCAGCTCATGTCGCCAATGGCAGTGGGGAGGATTTCCAACATCTGCCATGTACCACGGTCTGATCCTTCATTATCACGTTGTCATTGTAGCCTTATAATTAAGTATATCCAAAAAGCAGAAGGGAAACTTGTAGCTGTGCGAGTGGATAAATAAAACCGAGCATATGATGTATGGAGAAAATAAACTATACCCAACTGTGCAGTAGAAAGCTGTATTTTTGTCAGGGGTTCCTGTGACAGTGTAAACCATAGCCAGCAAGCTCAAGTGGTTTGTATGTGTCACCAGAAACCTGGATAAAAATACAGCCTTATAATGCATATACTGTGGGTATATTTTATATTTCATGTTACCTTAACACCGACAAAGGCGTAGGTACCTGATGTAAACAAACTTTAGGTTTTTCTCACCAGTTTGTGACTTATTATATCCTTTTTTTTATATCAGCCAAATTCTGAATTTTTTTCCTCTCGAAATAAAAGAGATGACCATTACCCCATTATCTTCTGCTTTCAGTTGTTCTCAAGTCCTTCGGTTTTGAAGCAAGCTAAGTCATGCCTCCACCATGGGCTGCGTAGACGGCTGGTTTGGGGGCAGAGCCCTGAGCTGCCTCGCTCCATCCAGGTTTTCAAGTGCCATGAATGTTGCATGCCCACAACGGGCTTCAAGAAGTGTAGCGTGCTCTCCTCTGGCGTCTCAGGTGAGAGTAGAAGGGCCTGTCTCAGATTCTGACATGTTGGGAAGATGAATGGGGTGGTCCTGGGTGCACTTTGCATTTGGGGCTGTGTTCTAAGTTCTCCAAGGAAAATGCTCACGCGAATTGATGGTCACCAGGATTTATCACACTGTGCCTTTCTCCTCTGCCCTGAACAGAGCAGAAAATTGTGGTTCTCAAAGGCAGCAGCTTCCAGCCTTGTGGCCTGGATGTGGATTTGTGTGAGTGCTTTCCAATAGAGGGCGCCATAGCAGTGCGCTAGGCTGTGGGCGGGAGGCCCCCAGTCACCACTGCTGCTTAAGGATGGATGTGAAAACAGGCGACAGGGTGGAACTCTCCCATCGGCTTGTGACAGACCCACGTAGCACATGGTGCCATCGGGGCTGCTGGCAGATCAGCAGGCCTCTCTGCGATGCTGTCGGACCCTGACAATGCTCCCCGTGTCCCACGCTGCCCCCGTGCTCTGCAAAGGGGCCAATTCCTGGGCCAGGAGAGTGCGGGTCCCTTACTCACCAGTGTCCCACTGCGGTCTCCAGATCCCCAGGTGGACTTGAGGGAGAGTCCCAGGGCTGAGCAGCCAGTAAGGGCTAAGTCCTGGTGGGCTGAGCCACGTGCAGCCAGGGACCTGCCCATCAAAGCCGTTGGAGGTAGCCCTGCGGCTCCCCGTGGCCTGGACCGCCAGTGGAAAGCTGGGCCGTGGGTGAGGACAAGCTGCGCTGTGTTTCCTGTCTCCCAGGGCCCCCTTGGCCCTGTCAGAACAGGCCTGATATACGCCCTGAGGTCCCGCTGACCGAGGCAGCTGCCCCTCCAACCGGTGTGGCCGTGTCCTGCTCCGAGGCTGAGCTCACGGAGGCCCACAGGAAAAGACAGCACCAGCCATCTGGAGTCGCTGTGGTGCGACATCGCAGCGCGATTGATGAAAATAAAGAGGAAAAGGAAAGGCGAAAAGAAATACAGAAATATTTTCCAAATAAAGAGAAATGTCAAAACTAGAAAGCTGTGTTCTTTGACCTCGCCGGGTGGGTTTCCCCATCCAGGCTGCGTGCGATGCTGTGGATGCTGACATGGAGCCCCTCGGGCCAGCCCCGCTGTTCTCGCCCGTTTCCAGAGACTGAGATAAAGATTGAGAAATAATATTTGTTTTTGCAGAACCTCATTCGTGACAAAATAGATGCCCTTGGCTGCTCAGGAGGCTGAGTTTGCTAAGGGTCGTTGTGTTCTTCTCCCAGCCCCTTCCCCATCAGAAGCAAGTGTCAAACCCACCTCCTTCGCCGTGTCCTGTGGCTGTATTGAGTGGTTGAAGGACAGCAAGTGTCTGGCTTGTTTACGCCCAAAGAAGCTGGCTGGAATTGTACCAAGGCGAAATGTCCTGCCGTCGGCCAGGGATGAACGGGCTTCTGAAGCAAGTCTTGCATGAGGAGTTGTGGAGCTCAGACGGGCCGTTACTGTGCAGTTCTACATCCAGAGGGTGCAAGCAGGGCTACGTCTGAGCAAGTGAGTGGGCTCCCCTTGTAGTTAACTTAATTGGGATTTTTAATTCGTGTCCGCTTCTTACCCAGCAGAAATAGTTACTAACATCCCTCGTGTGGCTCAGTCATCAGCTAGAGCTTGAAATCATCATTTCTAACTCGAGTCTCTTTAGGTTCACCTGCCTCTCTTGCACGGTTTGCACTCCCTACGTACTGTTTGGTTCCAGAATCCACTCTCTCTGAGCGGCCAAGCCTGGCCAGTGTAGGTATGTTAGTGTTGAAACCATGGTTTTTCGTTTCTGAACACTTTTGTGAACAACAGTGTTATCCCAGAACTTATTTCCTTTAAAACTGCAATATAAGAATAAAAAGTGTACAAGGAGGTTGCTTAAAAACGTAAGTGGGGCGCAATCCAGCAGGATTCCTGTGGGGTTTCTGTCCTGTCTCCAGAGGAACCACACAGTACAGTTCCTGCAGAAATGTGGCACTCCTTGCAGAAACGCATCCACAGCCGTCATTGTCGTCCCTGCCATGGCCCTCCCAGGGCAGGGCATGTGGCTCTGTGGGCCATGTCTCCTCCTGCCACCTCGGCACCCGCACACCCAACCCGGCTGTTGGCATGCTCATGTCTATGACCACAGCAGTGCCAGCTCAGACCTCCGCTGCCGTTGGAACAAGCTGGATGTCACAGCTGAATCAATGTGGAAGTTGTTCATTTCACTTCAGAGCTGGCCAAAGATCTTAGTGCTGTTTCGGTTTCAAGATACATAGAGGAGCAGCTCTCTGAAGTGATAGATAAATTGGCTTAAATGTGGGATACACGAAAAAAAAGCGTTTGTTTTATTTTGCTCTAAAGGTTTTCCCAGAAGACCAATCAGGAAGCTGAACCTTCCCACGGTCTCTGAGCACTGTGATGTACGTGGGCCTGCGTGGGCCTCGTCTGCACACGTGGTCTTGCTGCTGTCCTGGCAGTGGGGTGATGGAGGGGGCAAGTGGGCCCTCGGTGGGGATGTAACTGCGTTTGGCCTTCCTCAGCACATACGAGGTTTTTTCTTTCTTGTTCATGGGCATTTGATTGAAAGTTTGTGTTCAGGAAGCTGAAGTTCACATCAGTTTTACCTGTTATCAGTTTGAAAGAGTTGAGATTTAAAGAGAGCTCTGCCAAGCAGCCCCCGTCTGTGTGTGTGTCTGTCTGAAGGAATGGGTGGCAGTTGAAAGCCAGGCCCGGAGCTAGAGAAACTGCAGGTACCTTCGCGTCTCTAAGTGGCTGAGGGCAGCTGTCCAGAGTCCTCGGACCCCGTGGCTCCAGCTGCCGACAGACGGAGAGGGTCTGGCCTCCATCACCCAGGTCCACTCCGATAGGATCTGTACTGGGGGTGGGGGATGACAACGTAGGACGGAGACACTGGGCAGCAAGGTGCAAATTGAGGTGGAGCCTGGCCTGCCGGCGCCCTGATTGATGGAAAGATGTTGTTAGCAAGCCTTTAAAGTTTCTCATTAATGTCTTTTTTTTTTTTCATTGATAAAGCTGCAAGAAAAAATTCCACATAGACAGTAGTTAAGATTGATCCTGAAAAATGTGGCATTGGTGTTGGCTGCTTTCAAAGACCCTCCTACCGAACACCTTGTTTTGGAGCTGCCGTCCTAGGTTACTGGTGGGTCACAGTGAATGGCGCTCGCTGTGCTTGACTCTCAGGTGTCACTGTGATCTGAGGATGCAGAACAGAGTTTCCAGGTGGTCATTGTCATGAACTGTAAGGCGGTGGGGAGAATCTGCTGCTCCAGGGAGGCTGAAGTTATTCCACCGGCTCCCAGGGCACCCCGTGGAGCTGCTCCATTGTCCATGGTTCTCGGTGACCTTCTTCCCTTGTTCTCAGCGGTTGAGTCGTCCCCCTGGCGCACACACCACCGCTCACATACACACCCGAGATTTTCCTTGTCTTCCTGTTAGACATCACTTTTGTTTGGTTCCCAAACACAAGCAACATGTTTGCTTCCAGATTGGTTTGTTGACTTAAATTAAGAAAAACCCAGCTGGAGAAAATATCAGTATCCAAACATTAAGCAACATGTGATATTGTGCAAAAAGTATTGCTTTCAAGTGTTTTGATTGCCATAGCTACAGGAAGTGGCTGCACGTGGGAGACTTGGCAGGCAATGTGGGAGCAGGTATGCGGCACGGAGCTGTGTCCTGGAGCAGGCAGCCTTGGGCCCCGGCCCCCTGGGCCCTGCAGGAAAGCTCTGCAGCTCAGGGGCATTCCCCAGCCACCCCCATGCCTCTGGGGGGCCTTCAGAAGGGAGGGATCTTGCCCCAGGACGGAGGAGGAAAGAAACGAACCTCAGATGCAGCCGAACTTGGGTTCAAATTCTCCCAACCCCTGTGGCAGAGTGAGCTCAAACATGCGACCCCTCCTTCCTGCAGTTCAGATACCCCAAATCCATGAGGGGCTGGCGGTGCCTGCCTCCAGCACCAGGCTGCCAGCACCACAGACACTCCAGTGTCGCATCACACTGAATCCCTGATGGCCCAGAACACCCTCCTGAGAAGGAAAGAAAGGCCAACCCTGGCCGTCCTTGGGGACTTAGTCCAGGGCCAATAGGGATGGCAAAACCTGCCGGCAAGGTAGGGAGCGGTGACTACCTCTCACTGCTCACACCGTAACCAAGCCAGGTGTGTGCTGTGCCTGGCACTGTCCACCAGGTCCAGGCTGCCTCGGGGTCCACAGAACAGAAGGAAAGTGCATTCCTGAGCAGAGCGTGTCACGTGTCTTCATTCAGTCCATGTGGATGTGCCTCTGGGGAGGAAAACAGCCCCTTTGTAGAGTTCAGCTTTGTGAAAGCTGGAGATCCTTCCAGGTGAAAGACATTACCTTAGTGTATGATCCTATACCTGAACACAACTCCCCTTAATGCCAATGGGGACAAGGACCTAGGAGCTCACTTGGTGCCGGTCCAGCTAGAACAAGCTCGACCTGGGACTGGCGCGTTCGCAGGGTCTTCCTGCAGCTGTTGTGCTCATTTTTTTGATTCCCAAGAAGGGAGATGAAAAATACCTGCATTCGTCCTGGAAAGAATGAGCAGCAACCTCTGTGTGAACGGGCAGAGCTCAGCTTCGCCGTCACGGCCTTGCCGGGGCCCAGGGACCCTGCTACAGAGGTCCTTTCTGGGCGTCTCGTAGGCCTCCTGCAGCTGCCCTCTCCCGGGCCGTTTCCTCTGTAATGGGCCAGGGGTCTGTCTCCCTTGCTTAGGCCTGCCTGAGTGCCACGCTGTGGTTTTCAGGAAGGTGCAGGGCCATGTGCTCACTGAGCACGCCGTGGCTTTGTGCAGACCTGCGCATGCTGCCCAGGGAGGAGAGAAGCCTGGCCCTTCCCCCTCTGTTATCACTGCACCTGGTGGGCCCTTCAGGATCCTTCCTTTCTCCTTTTCTCCCTTAGGAAAAAGCCAAGTCCCCATTGCGCCCACCGCTGTGCTCAGCAGGGTGTTTGCATGTCATGGGAGGCGCCCGGGAGGGGAACGCATGTGTGTCCTGGCTGTGTGCACCTGGACACAGCCCAGCGCCCACAGCTCCCAGCCCCTCCTGGGGGACCTCACCAACACCGACCCAAGATGTGGTTGGTGGATGGGGCTGCCTCCACCCTGCCGTGTCATCGCTGTCATGGGAGATGACGTTCCAGGGTCAGCAGCAGGGTTCCAGGCACGTTTAAGGAGGGGGCAAGGGACATCGGCCAAGGGACGACTGTGAGCCAGGAAGAGGGCCGGGTTTTGCAGGTGCTCAAACCCAATGCAGTCGGCCCTCCATATCCACAGGTTCCACATCCACGAGTTCAAACAACTGCGGATGGAAAGGTCTATGGTGTTTATACCTGTACTGAACATGTACAGACTTTTTTTCTTGTCATCATTCCCTAAACAATACAGTATAACAATTTATATAGCATTTACATTGTATTGGGTATTATAAGTAATCTAGAGATGATTTAAAGTGTACGAGAGGATGTGCACAGGTTATATGCAAATATTACCCCATTTTATACAAGGGACTTGAGCATCCGTCGATTCTGGTCTCCGAGGGGTCCTGGAAGCAATCTCCCATGGATGCTGAGGGACATCTGTATCTGCCATTTGGATACACCAGATTGGGGAGCCCACCCCTTTGCTTTACTCAAATTCAAGTCTAGTTTGGGCAGGTATTCCTAAAAAAATTCCTCTTTTCCCGGGAGTCTTGCTATTTCCAGAACCTAAGCATTCTCGCTCAATTAGCCTTCTCTACACCACAACTTGCACCACTTTTCTTGAGAAAAAGGCTTTAGTGGCAAAGTAGCAGCTTTGGTTGTGATGCTTCTGCCCTTTGCAGCCTTCCCAAGTGGGCCTGTCCTGCTCACCCCATCAGATCTTCAGGACAGCTCAGGTCTGGGCTCACAGGTCACTCACCTCACCCAAGCCCCTTGCAGGAGGTGGCAGAGCAGCAGGCTTAGCTACTGTCCCACCAGCCCCTTCAGAGTCTCAGGTCAGGGGTGAGGTGGATGGAAGAGAAGCCCTAAGCCAGACGTGGAGCATTCTAGAACATTCTGGAGCTAGCTCTTATGAGGCCAGTGGAACATTCTGGAGCAGCTCTCAGAGTAATAGAGCCCTGGGCTGGGAGACAGCCCCACCGACTGTCTAGGAGTTGACCTTGTCCTGGGACAGAGAGGCCACATAGGCCTCTGCACACCAGTGCACAGACGCCTCCCCCTTCAGGGCACAAGGGCCCTGGCTTCCAAAGTCTCTGCCCTGTGGTGGGTGGTGCTTGGTGTTGGCAGATATCCATGCTGCCACCGGGGTCACCAGAACTATGGCAGATCTGGAGATGTAACACGGAAAACTAACAGGACCAGCTGGTCCCCTGGCTCTCTGTGCCACATGCTGCTCCCACATCACTAGGCCCCTGGGGTGTCCTCTCTGCCACCAGAGCTCAAACACTTGAGGCCACTCGGCTCCCACCATCCTCTCTGTTCTCTCATCCTTGGTCACCTCAAGGCAAGCTCCTGAGTCTCCTGTCCTCTCACAGCCCCTGTAGCTGCTCTGCCCTCCTCACACTCTCAAGGCAAGCCACCATCCCCATCGTCATCCTATTGTACCTCAGACCCCGAGGCTCGTCTCCTGCCCCCACCCCATGCTCTAGCCCATTCACCTAAATTGGGGCATCCACCCAGGCTCCCGTCCCTCCAGAGCCCCCAGCTCCCTACACTTTGGCCCTGGAGCCCTCCCCATGGAGCCTGGAGCCCCCTCTCTGCCCTCCCTCCTCAGAGCGCCCCTGGGCCACCCTCCAAGATCGCCAGTCTCACATCTCTGTCCTGTTCCTGTCACAGTGCTCGCAGCAGGTCATCATCATTCTGTTGACCTTTGCTTGTCTGGTTGCTCGTCAGCTAAGATGGAGCTGCGTGGAGCCCGCCAGGCCTGGATGCTGGCGGCGCACGGCGGGTGCTGAACGGGTGCTGGCGGGTGGGTGAGACGGGCCCCCCACCTCCCACCTGCCCTCCCGGCCCACAGTTCCCATGGGGCCCTGGAACCTGCCATTCGCCGAAAGCCACCCACACCTCAGTCTTTGGCATAATAGTCCCTCCACCCCTGGGCTAGCTCCCCCGAGTTCCCTCCGGCCCTTCCCAGTGCAGACCCCAGCTCCCCCCCTCCTCCCCTACCTTCCCTGAGCCCAGCAGACCCCGCGGTCCACATTCTGTGTGGGGCAGAGGCAACTGTGCCATGGATGCCGCTGGTCCCTCAGCCCTACAGATGGGGAAACTGAGGCCCGAAGGCTTCAGGGGCTTGTCTAAGGCCACATACAAGTGTGTGGTGGAGCCAGAATGAGGACTTGGTGGGCATCCTGCTGCTGAGTAAGGACAAGGCCAGAGGAGGAAGAGCCACAGCCATCGTGGGGCTGGCCGGTCCTTGGTGGTGGTGTTTGTAGAACAGCAAGGATGGGACTTGCTTCAGAGAGTACTAGAATTTTCGAGAGATTTTCCCATGCACGCAGAGGTCTCTGGAAACTCTGAGATACACACAGAGTAAAGATAGTAGTAACAAAAATATCTCTCCGAGGCACGTGTGCAAAGAAACACAACTGACCAAGGATATTCCTTCAAGTTGTGTTTATTATATTAAAAAAATGGAATCAACCCAATTACCTATCAATAAGGGACAGGTTAAACCAATTTAAAGCATTGATTCGGTGGAATAGTGTGCATAATATCAGCCTACATTTATCTCCTGGAGAGAGGCCTGTCCCTGGGTGGTGGTGAGGGAGGAGAGTTGGTGCGAAACCTCGGCTTGGGTATGTGTGCCTGCCCCCAACAGGAAGAGGCGGCAAGGTTAGACTGCACGCGTGTGACTGTCGATCATCTCTGGGTGAGGGATCACGTCCCTTTATACCCAGCCGTCCTACCGCTGCTGCTTCTGAGTGTGAGCGTGTGTTACTTCTGGTCGGAAGGAGGGAGAGAGGAACTATTCTCAGTTTTTCAAACAGAAAACTCAGATGAGAGGAAAGGGTGGTATCCACGTGATCCCCCTGCAGGGCTGCGGGCACCGTCTCCACGACCCGCTGGTCTCTCCCAGGACGTCCAGACCCACACAGCGACCCCCACGTGCGGGATTTGGCTTTAGGCGGCTGACTGGCTCTGGCCCACCAACTTGGTGGAGAAAGGCTGACAGAGGATCCTGTGTTCCTCAAAAAATGAGTTCTCCATTTGAAGAGGGTGGTTCCCAAGGAGGTTGAGAGGGCAAATATCCGTTAATTTTCCTTTGTTTTCTTAGGAAAATTGCAGGCTCCGAGGAGAAGGGACATTTGAAGTGGGTGGTTCGCGGCCGTTGACCTGAGGGTGGAGGGGGGCCGCATCTGTGCCTCGCCAGCACCCCGGGGCCTGCGCTCCGGGAAGGGTTATGATTCTGATGAGATGTCCTAAAAGGGTGCTGTGAAGCCAGTGTCCAGGATGTGAGCAGAAAGAAGCATCTGTCCACAGCCCAAAAGAGTGAGAATAACTTAGAACTGGTGGTGTCTCCCTCCAGGTGACACAAAGGCCCCTCTTTCTGATGGTTTTAATGATTTCAGTTACCTGCAAAGTGCACTCGCAATGGCAAATTATGGGGCTGCCGATTCCTTGAGAAGAGATTTACATCGTCTCCCCACCTTTCACAGGACACACGGCACTGGTTCCCAAACCCCGGAGGAGGAGGCTGTGGGTGCACTGGGGGACCAGGAGGTGGCCTTGGCCTGGGTGCACTTGATTCGTGTGTGTTATGGTTTCTTTACCTACCCTTCTGTCCTGTCCCTCCTCGTGGCTGTGCTGACTCCTCCAAGCAGCCTGGCTCAGGGACCATGCAGGAAACCATCCGTGATGTGGGACACTCTCACCGGCACCAGTGCCCTCCTGCCCGACAACCTGTGCAGCTGGACGGCCGCACCTCAGTGCTGAATGGCTGCTGTGAGACCAGGAGGAAACGTGGAGATGTGCTGTGCCTGGAGAGAAGCCTCAGGAAGTGGAGGAAGGAGAGAAGGTGCTTCCTTAGGCACCATCCTTACAGATTCTGCCTCACTCGGGCTGCTGCTGTTCCCGTTGTTTGGTTAAGAGTTCGGCTTCTGTATTCGAGAATGCTGGAGAATATGTTTGGCAGGGAATTCAGACATCACCACCCAGCTTCACTTACTGTCCCAACTTGTTTCTGAAAGTGGCTGTGGGTGAATGTTAATGTAAAACTCTGCTGTCGAGAGCCGGGCCCAGCACTGTGCAGGGCTGATCGACACTGGGTTGCTGGCAAGAAGCATTCCCGTAGCGTCTCCCACAACCTCTGCAGGGCGCTGGCAGGTTCCAGCCAACCACGCGGGATCATGACGATCCCACGGGCCTCCATGGAGCCTGTCCCCGTTCAGGGCCTCGTCACGGGGCTCTGGGCACAGAGTCCTCAAGGCCAGGCAGAAGGGAAATGTGCGAGCGTGGAGACACCATCCCACCGGTGAAGGGGCCGGCGAGGTGGGTCTCTGAAGGCCCTGGGGGCAATGAAGCAGCAGCAGAACTGGTGCAAGTCCAGGCGCTGGGGCAGAGCGGCCAGAATTCCACTTGTTAAGGCTGTGTTTGATGGGGTTAGGAGGCATTTTCTCCTATTCTTGCTCACTGCTTTTTGTAAAGATGAAGGCTTCAGCTGTGGACAGCGCTCAAGGCAGAGACCCGTCAGCCTCGTCTGCTTCCCGTGAGGGAGGTTTCCATTCTGCCGCTTTCCTCGCCGACACCCAGCGTCGCCCACCGCGCCGCCCGGCCTGTCCTCACTGTGCTCCGGGCCTGGCCCCCTGTCTGCGGCCGGGGAGGGACCACGCCCCATCTCGGTGATGCCAGGACTAAGCACCTGTGAGGTAGTCAGCCCAGCGCCTGGCGGGCGGCTGGGGAGGGGGTGACTGCTTAAACTGAAAGAAATACGCAGTTCCAAAATTTATAATTCTCTTGGAATAAACTATACGAAATTTTATGACAAAGTCAAGTTATACATAATACAAAGTGATTGTAGGTCTGTCGGAGCGCTGAGGGAAGTCACTGTTGTACGCCTGAGAGTTGCTAAATCTCTCCCCAAGCAGGGACTTACCCCTGTGGCTTCAGGATGCTGACACTTGACCTCCTACACACGCCATGGGGTCCCCTGACCACATGGGTGGGAAGTTCAGTTCTTGCTGCTGTAACCTGGAGAGAAGCAAAGCCACGAGCCCCCGACCAGGGTGGACGTGAGAGCACACGCGCCATCGTTCATCTCCAGGGCCGTCTGTGTCCTACAACCGTAGAAACAGAGCAGCCCGGTTCCCATACACGCACATCAGGGCCTCCACATGGCGTCAGCCAAAGGTGTCACGGTGCGAGCACACTGTTGAGAGCCATGGGCCGCAGCTCTGCTCACTGCTGAGGAGGCAGCTCCCCACCCCACCCCTGCTGTCTCCGGGCCAGGCTGCCTGGGGCCGAGCTGAGAACACGCGTGTGTTTAAAGCTGCCTTTTCTCCGAGATGCAGAATGACACGTCTAAATATTACAACACCAAGAGGTATGTAGCTGTCGGTACTTTTCCATGCAAACATCTGACTTCTATGCCAGGAAGCAATGTGACAGGCATTCTGTAGTTTCGAGCAAATTGGTCTCAGATGTAGATGAGCAGATTTTCACAAGGAAAGGATGGAAGCTTGTTGTATGCTGGGCCTGAGCCTACCAGGTGCTAGGGTGCTGCAGGACCGTTTACTGCTGAAGTGGCCTCCTCTTCCTGCTCCTTCACCATCCCCCTCCATCCTCCTCCTTCCTCCCCACCTCTATTCCCACCAGCTGCATTCCCTGCCCCCTCCATCCCCCTCCGGGAAGGTTTTTGGGAGCCTCCCCTCCTCCCAACCCGGGGCCTCCTGGCTTGACTCTCCACCACTGTCTGTCATGCTGGTTCTGAACTCCCAGGCTGCTGTGGCCTCTGGTCCCCATGCTGGGCGGACACTACCAGGTTTGAGCTCTCTCTCTTCAGAAGCCCCTTGAGCCTAAAACCGTTGTCCTGTTGTGGGGCAGAAGGGCGGCAGTAATGCTCAGGGGTGAGGCTTGTCCCCTTGAGGGGCAGTGTCGTCTTGTGTGCGCTGCAGGACCTCTCCACAGCTGGATTTCTGTGGTGGAGTGAATGGGGGCCCCAAAGAGCTGTGTCCACATCCGAATGCCTGGGACATGTGCATGTGACCTGGTTTGGAAAGGGGGTCTTTGCAGAAGTGGCTGAGCAAAGAATCTCAAGATGAGAGCATCCTGGACCACCTGTGTGGGCCCTAAATGCAATGACAGACAGATGTGTTTCTAGGAGACAGAAGAGGAGAAGACACAGACACTGAGGAGGAGAGCCCATGTGAAGATGGAGATGGAGATTGGGGTGCTGAGGCCACAAGCCAAGGAAGCCTGGAGCCACCAGAAGCTGGAAAAGTCAAGCAAAGATTCCCTGCCCCAGAGCCTCTGGAGGGAGCACGGCGCTGCCAACGCCTTGATTTCAGACTTCTGGCCTCCAGAACCGTGAGAGGATAAATGTGTGTTGTTTTAAGCCCCCAGTTTATGGTGCTTTGTTGCAGTGGCCCCAGGATGCTAGCATAGCTTCCTTATCTGCGTAGCAGGTGTCAGTGGCACGTTCATCCAAGGCCGTTGTGAGGTTGTAATGAGTCAGTCCTGGGGAGCCCTTAGCCCACTGCCTGGCACATGCTGAGCACTCAAAGTGTGGTGGTCGTTTAAAGTCAGACTTTGGAGTCAGACAAACCTGGTTGGCATCCCCACATGCTGGCTGTGGGACCCCTGGTAATGTATTTAGTCTCTCCAAGCCTCATTGCCTCGCCGGCGAAAAGGAGAGACTACTGTCCGCCTTGCATGGTGTTAGTGACCGTTTAATAAAAGAAAGCTCCTTCCTTTCGCCTTCCCTCATGCCTTGACTGTTGTTAGAGTGAAACCCAGGAGTAACTCGTTGGCCGCTGATGTCGGCAGGCAAGGCCATTCGAGAAGGGGAGGAATCGTGTCTCCTCTTTCCTGGCTTGACGGTTGATGATGCTGGAGGTGGTGGGATTGTTGTGAACACCAGGACAGGCGTGCAGAATCACAACAGAGTCTTTGACAAACCTGCAACTGGGTGTTGCCACTCAAAGTAGTCACCCTTGAGAGACTACCCTATGCCCGTGACACTCAGAATGTTCTGGCAAGACTCTGATGGTGGGCCATAGAGGCGTTTATGAACCACATCTTTAAAACAGCACAAAAACGGACTCCCAGAACACACACTCCCCACTGGCCCGGCCAGGCTCTGCAGATCTGCGACGATGACAACTTCCAGAGCTCAGCTCGGCCTCTGGGGGCACATCTTTGCTCAGGAGCAGCCAGGTATGTTTTTAATACCAGTGATATCAATATGGATCTTAAAGCTACCATAAATAAAGCAGTTTGGGCTGATGCGAAGGCAGACATAAGTAGATCGATGGACCCAAATGGCAAGTCCAGAAACAGCCATGAGTCTGTGGAATTTTAGAATGTTATAAACAAAGCATTTTAGTAGAAGTGAGGACAACAGATTATCTAATAAATGGTATTAGGACAGCTAGCTGAGCTGTTTGAAGAAATAGCATAATTCCAGAAACATTAGAGATCTAAGCATTGTTTGAAATTATTTTTAATTGTTATTGTATCAGATGAAAATATGGGAAAACTACATCATCTCCACTCCACAGGTAGAGGAGGTGCTCAGAACATGGCAGGAGCTCAGGAGCCATAAAGAAAAAGATTGACTCCCTGGACTACGTGACAGTGTCAGACACAAAAGACACATGGTTCACCAGGAGAGATAACCAACAACATACGGAACACCAAGATCATAGCCGTAATATATAAAAAAACTTCTGCAAATCAATAAGAAAAAGACAAACTACCCAAAAGACAGATGAGCAAAGAATATAGACAAGCCATACAAGAAGGAAAAAATGTAAAGGAGCAGCTAGAAGCCTCTAGAAAGAGTAGAGGAGGGTACAAGTGACATTGGCCACAATGATTATCTAAAGTAATCAGTGGAGAGATACCCCATTAGCACCTCGCTAGTGATCATAAAATTGCAAATTAAAATATGAGATAGCATCTTACTGTAATCTAGGTTAAAAACATAAAAAATTTATAGTTCTTTGCCTACAGTGTAGTGGAAAGGGCACACATACTCTGTTGGTAGGAATGCCGACATATTGTTGGAAGGCAATTAGGTAATATTAAAATGTAAAATTCTGTATTTGACCAAACAATTCCCCTTTTAGGAACCTACTCAAGAGAGAAACATTTGTGTATGTGCAAGGCTGTACTTACAGGCATGTTCATTGCGCCATTGCTTATAACAGCAACAAATGGGGAACGACATGAATGTCCTATCAACGTGGGGCCACTGAGTCAGTCATGCAACGTGTACAAGGGCAAATGCGACTCTCTGTTTCTGGTTGTGGAGGGAGGGTCATGACTCACGGCTGAGTGATAAAGGCATGTGATAAAACATCAGGAATGGTCAATACTGTTTTATAAAACAAATTTTTTAATCAAGTGTACAATTGTGGAAGAAAATCTGCCATCATATTTGCATGGCGATAGCTCGCTGGAAAGAGCTGGAGAGAATTGCTTTGGGGTGTGTGCATTGTATTGCTTTCCAGCGTTCAACTTCTGTAAATCATATGCATTTGTTATATAACTGGGGAAAAAATCCATGATTCCATCTTAAAGATGTATATGTATTTACACATATATGTGTATATTATGTCTATTTTTTAAAAAAAAAGAGCATCTGTGGAGCAAGGTGCTCCAGCGAGCGTCTCAACATGAGGAATCGTGAATAACTGCATTTCCTTCTCTGTGCTGACCTGTATGTTCTAAATTTGTGCAATGGAAACGCATCATGTTTGTAATGATAAAAACCCAGTGTATCTCCCGGATGAAGAGGCCCTGACTGGTGCAGGAAGGGGACAGCACTGGCGATGGCAATCTCATCTCACAGTTGGCGTCTCTCCCCTGACCGGCTGCTGGCCAGACTCCTGCCGTCCACTTGCAGGGCATCTGAGTGAGGATACCCCAGGTGAGACATGGGGCAGCAGCGGGCGGTCTCTCACTAGTCAGGCTGTGTGACACCAATATGAGAAGGTCAGCTCGGAGTGTGGTGTCTCAGAGAGGGACGGTCATGGACGGAGGTGGGGGTGAGCTAGAAATCAAGAGGGGCTTCCTAGAAGAGGTGGAACACAAGCTGGACAGGGCATAGCGGGCATGTCAACTAGAAGGAGCAGCCAGACATCTTAGAAAGAGCAGAGGAGGGCACAAGTGGCCTTGGCCTCTGAAAAAGAAACCCAGGGGCCTTGAGGGAAGTGGCAATGTCAGGCCAGGGGGAGGGCAGACACCCTTGCCATACATCGTGCGGGACACGTGTGGGGTCAAGTCTTGGTGAGGTTTCAGATGGTGACCAGCAGGAGAGCAGTGCACGGCAGGCAGCCCTGTGCCTCGGGGGCTCCTCCTCCGCCTTGCTGCCCGGGGACAGTGTGCTGTCCTGAATCGCTCCTTTGTCCCCTGAATGTTGTGCTTCCTCCCCGCCCCCCCCCCCCCCAATGCAGGGAGCTGTCACAGCACAGGTTTCCTGGCAGAGGAGGTAGACCGTGTAGAGGGCAGGCTGCGAGGAGGGGACAGGACCTCCCCCAGGGCTCCAGCTGCGTAGACAGCAGATGCCTTCTGTTCTCGAGGTGGGACCTCCATCGTCTGTCCTTGTTCCTCGGGGACCGTGAGGACAGAGGGCAGGTGGGCACCTCAGCCCGGCAGAGCAGGCCCGAGGCTGGCACAGAGAAGCCTGACTCCTCATCTCAGCATCCCTGTGTTTTACATAATTAGGTAAGTCACTTAATGTCACTGTGTCTTGTTAGAGAAGCTACTAATCCTTGGAGCTAACAGGACTAACTAATTAGTGTAAAACACTTTGAAAATATAAGGAATTCAGCAGTGGAGTATAATTGGCCGGTCCTCCCGGTATTTGACGCTTCCGCCGTATCCCTCATAGGGCCGCGGGCCTGGCTTCATCAAGGAGACACGGCCGTCAGTAGACAGGCTGTCCTGAGCCCTGGGCTGGCCGGCAGCACCTCCCACACTGCTTTACCGGGTGAGGCGGCGTGGGGACAAGGATGAGTGAACTGGCTGGGGCCCCCTGCCTCGCTACCCCAGGACCTCGGGGAACCAGGAAGCCCTGGGAATGGGCCAAGATGGCCTGAGGGCTGGGGCTCCAGGTCGTGAAGCACCCACAAGCTGGTCGTGGCTGGGGCCCAGGTGTGGCCAGCCCTGACATGGCCTCTGGGACTGGCCGTGACTGGCTGGGCAGCAGCAAATCTGTTTGAACCTGAGCTTTCTCTTCTCTGGCATGGAGTAGCGTGTTGCCTTGCAGTTTCTCCAGAGGGTGGAGACAGAACCGGGAGACATGTCGCACAGACCCGGCACACAGCAAATCATGCTGTTTTCCTCTTTAAAGAATAAATGCAAGACTTCCTGCTGGGTTGTAAGTTGCTCAAAAAAGATATCCACGCCCCAGAGCCAGGCAGCACTTGCCCCGAGCTCCAGGGACACATCTGGCCACCGTGGGTGTGGACTTTCTGCTGGTGTCGTTGGCAGTAAGATAGGCAGTTGGCTGTTCTCTTGGTGCCTTACTTCCTAAGGATGTATGGAGCTGTCAGCAAACCATTAATCTCTCTTTAAACCACGGTGACGATATTTACATTTAAGATCAAGATGATGATTATCTGAAGAACTCCCCTGGAAGCTCTCCTCCCAACTGGAAAAACACAGCAGCCTGTTAGCAGAGCCGGATCCCGGGCCAAAAATAACCAGAGGCTCCGGGAGAGCCACGCCTGCAGAGGTGGAGCCAGGCAGGTGAGGGGAGCACCGGCGAAGCAGCGGAAGGGATGTCCGCCTCAAGGAGAAGGAAGCCCGAGTCACATGGCAGGGGCTGAGCGTGCAGACCCGTCCATGCAAACCCAACAGTCCAGACCCGACCGTGCAGACCCGACCATGCAAACCCAACAGTCCAGACCCAACAGTGCAGACCCGACCGTGCAGACCTGACTGACTAGCTACAAGAATACGTTTCTGAAAAGAATTATTTTTAATTTATAGAAAAAGAATTTGTGCCCAAACAATACAGAAAACCACCAGGGCTGAGCAGGGTGAAGAGCCCCTTTCCGAGCATCCTGGGGACATTTTGGCAAGTCATTCATTCCGAGAGTGACCTCCAGGCGGCCCCGCACCCAGTGGGGCTCCCTCTGGGTGTTTTCCATTTCAGCAGTCTGCAGGCTGGACACTTACTTCGATGCCTCGTGTGGTCCAGGCAGGCTGTCAGGGTCCCTGCTCTCCAAGGGCGGTCCCCATACCTGTGCTGTGGAAACTTCTTTCTCACGGGCATCTTCAAAAAAGTATTTCAGGGGCCGGCCCGGTGGCACAGTGCTTAAGTTTGCACGTTCCGCTTCTCGGCGGCCCGGGGCTCACTGGTTCGGATCCCGGGTACGGACATGGCACCACTTGGCAAAAACCATGCTGTGGTAGGCGTCCCACATATACAGTAGAGGAAGATGGGCAAGGATGTTAGCTCAGGGCCAGTCTTCCTCAGCAAAAAGAGGAGGATTGGCAGCAGTTAGCTCAGGGCTAATCTTCCTCAAAATAAAGTATTTCAGGAAATACGTAACATTACCAACCAAAGCTGACCTTTTCGTTCCTTATCAAAACTAACACCAGTGATCCTGACAACACTCTGTGACGTACTGCATTTCACCCCACAGGGAGGTTATGTGTTTTGCCCCAGATCACTCAGCTTTTAAGTCATGAAGCCTGGACTTGAGCCCCAGGCCTTCACCTCAAGATCTGTGCTGCCCCCACTGGACGTTGATGCTCCATCCTTAGCATTCTCAGATCAAGTCCACGATAGCCCACAAATGTCCCTGCATGCTTAGAACTAACTACGGCTCTTGTTCCTGGAGTTTAAAGTGAAGCGTCTATGAAGGATTGAGAAGGACGCTTAGTCTGTGTGCACTGACTTTGACAGTCATTTGGTATCACCCTGTAGAGTTGAACAGACATGGCTTCTGACCCAGCTGTTTCTCCCCTGAGCACACTCCCCTCGGCAGTCTCTGGACACGTGCACAGAAGCCAGGCCAAGGAGCACTCATGTCCCTACTGTGTGCAGAGCAGACGCCGTGATGGATCCGAACGTCCGACCAGAGGACGATGAGTGACGGTGTGTTCGTGGGATGGACTATTATGCAGCAGTGACAGTGAGCAGACCTATGTGCTCTGCCATGAGTGGTCTTAGCAACACGGTGAGGAGTAGACTGAGTGCGCTGCGGGAGACTGCATATGGCGTAGTGCTGATCTTATAAAGCTCACAAACGAACCTTGGGGGACATATATCGCTTTAAATAAATATGTACACACATTTACCATCATGCATATACACACACACAGATACATGCGCACATGTAGGATAAAACCTTTGAAAAAGCTAGGGAGTGATATATACGCGATTTAAGTTGCTGCCTCTGAGGCAGAGGCGGGAAGATGGAATGTCACAGAAACTCTGATGTTGACTACACTGGGGTACACTCAGCCGTATGTTCTGGTTCCTAGGCTGGGTAATAGGTTCACTGGTGTCCTTGCAATGTTTCACAACATATGTGTTACGCTCATTTGTTTATTTTGTATCAAATATTCTATAATTTGAAAATTTTAAGCAGGTCATTGAAGGCCATTGTTCACTGTGTTCCTGTTTCTGCTGAGATTGTTGGCACAGTGGGTGAGTCCAGAAATGGTTCACATCGACCTCCTTGACCTGGTTTTGTGTAAAGCGATTTTCCTCCTGGTTCAGCAGGCTGAGAGAGTGCACTGCAAGCCCTCCTCCTGGGAGGGTCCTGGCCTCTGCCAGCCTCGTGCCACCTCCTGGGTGACATGTTCAGTAGGTAGAAACTGCAGTGGGAGGAGCCTGTGGGTCTCCTTTGCTGACTGCGCAATCGGGCTCTCTGAGCAGCGCCGGCGCTGCCCCTCGACGTCAGTCCCTCCCTTCCTCCTGGCAGCACTCCCTGCTCCTGGAACATCACAGCCCCGGGCACAGAGCAGGTGTGAGCAGGTGTGAAGAACAAGGCTGACCCTCCCTCACAGGGCCTTGGCATTGAGATCCCCTACCTGTGGGCCGTGGGTTTGGGGGAACAAGGTTTGGCCCCAAGAATTTTCAGACCCACAACAAGACGTGATGCAATGTTCTGGTTAGAACCATGGCCCACAAACCCTGTAGGCTCAGTGCATCTACTCAGTGCAAAGAGCAAAGGTTATAACGCATCACAAATGAACCAAAAAGACCTCAAGCCGGAGAGGACTCCAGAGGAGCCCGGGGAATGAGTTAGGAGGAGTCTGCAGCCATTCCAGACTGCCAGCCTTTGACAGTCGCAATTAAAAGACCACCTGGCCAAGGGTGATTATTCAGACTTGTGTTTGCCAGACATTTTCTGAAAAATGAGTGATGTGAACCTGTCCCTTCAAGGAGAACAACTGGCAGAATTTATTACCAATGATAAAAGTTTGTTTTTGAACAAAAATTAGAATTTTTGAAGTTTATATCTGCCACTGTGAGCTTTACAGCTTCCGAATAGTTAGATTTTTCTGATGAGATTGGTGGTGATAGTAACAAATGTTGTTTTTTTAATATTATGTAATGAAACGTGCCAATGTTTGGAAAATCTTCATAACACAGCAAACCCGCATATCCAGATGACCAACGCATGATGTTACGAGACCATGCGTGGGTCAAAGAACCGTTCACAGTGCGAAATGGACCAGCGAGCGGAGTTGAGCAAAATGCAGAAGTTCCCTGATGGGGTTTCAGATCCCCCACTGCAGCTAAACTTGGAGAAACTCCCGCTTGTGGAGTTTGGGTGTAGGAGCAGAGGAGAAAGTCCACAATATTCTGAAAAGGCTGGTAAAATACTCCTCACTCATCAGCTACGTCTGTGTGAGGCCAGAGCTTCCCGTGCGCTTCAACGAAGAGAACAAACCACAGTAGTTGGAATGAAGAAGATACGAGAATCTAGCTGTCCTCTATTAAGGCAGGAACTGGAAGATTTGCATAAATAGAAAACAAGGCCACTCCTCTCTGCTTTGGAAAATATAGATGTTGTTATTAAATGTTTGTAAACTTAGGCTAATATATATTGGGGGTTTTGTTATTTTTAAGCAAATCAATAAATAATTTTAAATTTCTCAGTTTTATTTCCTAGCATGCTAACTATCAATAGATGTAACCCATGTATCTGTTATTGGGGCCTCAATTTTCCGAGTGTAAAGGTCCGGAGAGTCCATGTTCTGAAAAGGGTACAGCAGTGGGGCTGTGGGACCCCCGTGCTTAAGAATTTCCTTCAGAAGTTACATCCACAGAAACGGTTCTATGTGGTCAGGCGGGGAGCCTAGTTCTCAATTAGAATGAAATACCAGGAGCACATTCCTCTCCCATTTCTACATTTTGTGCTGTGACAACCCCAAGCAACAGCCTAGGGCAGGGACAGCCCCCGAGTTATTATTAAGCTGCATTATTTTGATAAGTCAGAGATGGAGAGTTTCCACACCAGCTTTTATCCTTTCATGTAAAGATTAAAACACCACCACTAAAAAATAAATAGATAGATAAGGAGAATTGCAGATGGATGGAGTGTTCAGCATCCTTTCTGTCCTGCTGTTCCCTGAGCTGGTGTGAGAAACTGGCAGCTGTTAGCCAGTGATTCTGTTCTCGCCCCTTGTGTTTCGTAAGTGGTCTTTAACCAGGCCCCCTTAAAATGTATTATTGTTGGAAAATAAACCAGAAACAAGGGATGGTAATTTAGTACTAGGAAGTTAATTCTGGAGACCTCTGACCTTCCAGCAGTCACATGGCTATTGATTTTCAATACCGTGAGGTGGCGTGCCCCCCTAAGCGTGGGGTTCAGCAGATTCCACACAGTTTCTCCTTATCAGTTGGGTCCCTGAGTACTTGAGCATTAAGACAACAAATGTCCACAGTTAACGGCGTGTCACATGGCAGCTGGGTGGACGTGCCAATTTTCTAATGAAGTCGGGTTGTTGGCAAACACACCAGTCATCATATATTGAAGGAAGTCTTCTTTTGTGTATTTCCAACACTCTTGAGTGCTTCCAGAGATACCAGTTACATCATTGTCTAAGGGCCAGGCACCAGGGGAGCAGCATCCACTCACTGCCAAGACAAAAACAAGCAAAACCAAAGGTAAAAGCAAGGTGGGGCTGCGTTCTGTAGGAGGCGTCAGAAATATTTTTTCCTGTTGTGCTCGATGGAGGAAACATTCTGAGTAAAATCAGTGGTTCCGACACCCTCAGTCCTCCCGCAAAAAGAGGCATCTCGGTGATCACTCACTCCCAACTTACCTTGCTGTCTGTGTGCAACAGTCAGTATCGTTTTCCTTAATGTTGAAGCAAAGGAAACAGTCGATGCCGTTTGGGTCTCAACCAGCGTGTGGCTGGCCTCTCGGTCGTGGGCCCTGGTGGGTGATCCTGGTGAGTGAGCGGAGGGACTCCGGTCCCTCGGACAGCCTGAGCGTCCGTCCACCTCAGCAAACTCAGCTGCATTGGCCCCACGCTCCTCCTCCACCCGCACCAGTCATAAATTATGGCTGCCATCTTGTATCGATTATTGAAAATGTTATGTCCACGGGAAGAAAATGCCATGGCTTTAAATATCAACATGACTAGGGATTTTAAAGTTATTTTTTACAAAGACGTGTGTGATAAAAATTTTTAAGCAATTGAAAGGAGTCGGGGGCAGCGCAGAATTATTAAATAACAAAAAAATCAATCCTCAGTTTGGTCTGGCCAGACAAGCGTTCCTCAGCTCAGGTAAGTAGTTTAAAGTCAGACACGTCTCACACTGGACTTTTTACAGGAATGGAGAAATTTATAATGAAATTCAACAAGGAAACTGGAAAAACAGCCAAATTGGTGCAGCAAAGTGGTTAATAGGATCATTAGCCTCCTCGCTGTATTTTTTTGGACATTGTGTGCCTGCACCATGGTACTCGGGACCAGATTGCAGGAACAGGCTGACAGTTAGTAGCTAACTCAGCAGTGCTGGGTACAAACTGCCATCTTCCTGTGGATTTACAGCTGCCACTTCTGCTACTTCAATTAGTTCTATAGCACACAGATGTTGCTTAAATGTTGCTGCTAATGATACTGCAATAAGCGTAAGATTCATGCCATATTTTGAGGCACGTAAATTTCTCAAGTGGCACAATTAAAGTGGAAATATTAGGTGGGGAGAACTTGGCAGTCTTTCCAACTTGGAAGGCGCACCCGCTATGCAATAATGGGTCAAAAATTCATTCAAGTTTTACTGCTGTTCCGAGTTTTAAAAGACTTTTCACAGTTGAATGCAAAGTAGTAAAAACCAGGGTATTAGGAAATGAGATGGCAGTTCTGTTATTCAGACATGACTTTTAATTTCAAATTGGAATCACATGCCC